TTTTTGCCTTAAAACAGAGCAGAGTGTTACTGCGTTCCATGGCTTCTCTAGAAGTTCCCTCAGGAAAACTTCCTTGCCTTTGCTGTGACTCAATGAATATAGAGCATTTCTCAGAGTTGTCTTTCCTGTGTTTACATTTTCCTCTCTGTCCCTGTTAATCGTCTGCTCTTTCTCTGCAAGGAAACTGTTCCCTTCTCGGGGCATAAACTCACTTTTCCTCAGTAGACTTAGTAATTTTTTTAATATTCATCTTACTTGAACTTTTAGCAGCTGTACTGGATAGTTTATGTCAACATGACACACGGCAAAGTAAGCAGAGCTCCTCCATGGCCTCTGCATCAGCTCCTTTCTCCAAGTTCCTGCTCTGTTTGAGTTCCTGTCCTGACTTGCCCTGGTCAGCAGGGCACAATGAAGGTCTAGCCCACAGGAACCTGGAATGACAGGACAAGAGAAGTTGACAGCAAGACAATATGGCTGATCAAGCTGCATTTAAAGAGAATTTTGTACAGGCTTAAATAGGGGAAGTAAGGTAGGGGGATGGGGCAGAGAAATGCAAGACAATAAGGGAGGGGTCATTGCCTAGTAATCTGGCCTAGGAGTGTTCTTGGTACCAAGGAATGTTGATAGTCTACCACCAAGGCTGAGCATCGGGAATCTAGGTGTTAGCAGGGTAGAGGTCACCAGGTGAGTCGCTAAATAACCTGATTGAAGGGAGAAGGGTTATTAAGTAATCTAACTGCAGATTGCTATCAGCTATTCCTGTGAGCCCAGGTTCTTCTATCAGGAGGTCACTCAGCAACCACAGGATATTCTTTCTCTAAGCTATCTTCCTGTGGGGGAAGGCTGAATGGACTGTTTGCATGGGCTCTTGTCAGCCTTTAAAGTTTTAGGTAATGATTGCTCCTGGCACTGACTTCTTTAGCTATGATGCGGAAGCATAAGTTGAATAAACTCTTTCCTCCCCAAGTTGCTTTGGGTTTCATTAGAGGAATGATAACACTAACCAAGACACTAGCTTTTTATTATATTTATTTATATCCTCTTTTTAAGAAAATGGTCTCTTCCTTGGCATTTTGAGGTAGCCCACAGTGTTAGTAACTTTTCTATTGTAGTAATTAAACACCATGGCAAAGGTAACTTACAGAGAGGAGAGTTTATTTGGGCTCATGGTTCCAGAGGGATGAGCATCCATGATGGTGTGGGTTAGTAGTAGGCATGGTGATAGGAATGGAAACTGAGGGTCAAATCTCGAACTGTAAGCAGGAAGCAGAGAACAAACTAGGACTGTTACGATGAGGGTTTTGACACTGTTACCCACCTCATGTCCAGGTATGTCCTTCCTCCAGCAAGATCGAACCTCCTAGTCCTCCCAAACAGCATGGCCAACCCCCAACTCAGAACCTAGTGTTCAAAAGGCAAGAACCTATGGGGAACATTTTGTTTATTTGGCTTTGGCTTTTTGACAGAGTTTCTCTGCGAAGTCCTGGCTATCCAGGAACTTGCTCTATAGACCAGATGAGCCACGAACTCAGAGATCCGCCTGCCTCTGCCTCGAAAATGTTGGGGTTGGAGTTGAAGGGCATGTGGCAACACTGGCAGGTGGGTAACATTCTTATCAAATCACTATATCCATTTTTCTGAGGTTTGATACCATTGTGATTCCAGTTTAGAGAGGGTAAAGAGCATACATTTAAAGGATTTGTTGTTGCTTATTGTTGTTTGGAAATTTTTTTCTCCAGTCTTTCTGAAACTCCCTCTGTCTCCATATCTGAATGTTGGAGGTTCCAGGATGGGTCTTTATCACGCTCTTCAGTCTTTTCTCAAGTGCTGTCGAGTTGGTAACCAAATTTAGACACCTTCCTGCCTCAGCCTGTAGCTCTTTGTTCCTCTAGAGACCACCTGCTCCTGGGTGAATCTTACCCCTCAGAAGGCAAGCATGGTCACGAGGCACACTTGATTTCCTCCCCAAATCCTCTTTTCAGTTTTCTCTTATGGACAATTTCATTTGCCTTTTGTCTTCACATAAAGGATGCCGGAAGACATTTGTTGGATCCAGTATTCAAGTCCTGTTGTCTCCGTCATTATCATACGTGGATCTTCTACCAACACTTAGTTGTCGTGGGCCATCTTTAGTGAAGTCTCCATCATCTCTCACTCACGTCCAAAACTTCCCATCTGGATCTCTCTCTTTCCACCTAGTCCATCACTGTCTTATCCTTCACCCCCACTTCTCTGCCTATAGTAGACAATTGGTATATTCATTTTTTACATTACGTGTGTGGGGGGTAGATTGCATGTGTACATGGGTGTTTATATGTGTCCCAGTGTATATGCTTGCATTTTGCACGTGTGCCGGTGCGTGTGGCCATTGGCATGCGCCTGTGGAAGCCAGAGCTCGATATTGAGTGTCTTCTTGGATAATTTTCCACTTCGGTTGTAGAACCAGTGCGTCACTGAAGCACAGGCTTGCCTATTTAGTTCGTTTAACTACCCAGCTTGTCCCTGTATCTACCTCATATGCACTGAGAAAACAGTTCTGGGGAATCTAAGCTTTAGTCTGTGTACTTTTCCCTCGGAGCCATATATATATATATATATTGTTTTTAGCTCTGGCCAAGGATATTTTAAACTTGTGCTATCACTGTGCTATTGACTGTTCAGGAACAATGCAAACCCACAGGGGAACATGGGGGAAACTGTGGGATGAGAGTGAACCGTCTCTGATGTCACCCATCGCTCTATTCCCACCCCGTACTCTGTGGTCTCCTTCAGAGCTCTTCCAGTTTCTGCTTTCTGCAACTGAAACTCCCCCACCAGCTTACAACACTGCCTGTCATTCCTGTCTGCCTTTCCTCCTTTTATTTTTTCATTTATTTTGCATCCTGACTGCAGTTTCCCTTTCCTCCTGTGTATCCCTCTGCCTTCCCTGCCACCATCCATTGCTCCCCCATCTCCTCTCAGAAAGGGGCCAAGCCTCCCCTAGGCATAGAAGACAGCATGGCACACCAGGTTGAGACAGGAACAGGCTCCTCCCCCTGCATTAAGACTGCTTAAGGCAACCCAGCATGAGGAATAGGTTCCCAAAACCCAGGTCAAGTGCTGCAGACAGGTCCTGACCTAATGGATAGGAGCCCCACAAACAGACTAAGCTACACAACTGTCACACACGCAGAGAGCCTATGTTGGTCCCATTCAGGTTCCCTAGCTATGGGTCCAACGTGCATGAGCTCTCATGAGCTCAGGTCAGCTGGCTCTGTTGGTTCTCTGTCATGACCTTGCCCCCCCCCCACTCACTCCAGGCTCTTACAATCCCTACTCCCTCTCTTTAACAGAACTCCCCAAGCTTGGCTCAGTGCTTGGCTGTGAATCTCTGCATCTGCTTCCATCAGTTACTGGATTGAAGGCTATCTGATGACAATTAGAGGAGTTACCAATCTGATTACAGGAGACGGCCTGCTCATGCACCCTCTCCACTATTGCTAGGAGTTTTAGCTAGGGGGAGGGGGTCATCCTTGTAGATTACTGGGAGTTTTTCTGGCAACAGGTTTCTCTCTAACCCCAAAATGTACCCTGCACCATCAAGACATCTTTCATTACTCTCCCCTCAGTCCTGCCTGACCAGATCCCTCATGTCCTACCCCATCACTACCCTGCCCCAGTTTATCCAGGAGATCTCTCCTGCTTCCACTTCCAAGGGAAATCCATGCATCCCTCTTTGGACTTTGTTTCTAGCCTCTCTGAGGTTGTGGACTGTAGCCTGGTTATCCTTTACTTTACAGCTAATATCCACTTAGGAGGGAGCCCATGCCATTTTTGCCTTTTCTGTGTCTGTTTCACCTTAATGTGATTTTTCCCCCCTAGTTCTATCCATTTGCCTGCAAATTTCATTATGTCATTGTTTTTTACAGCTGAGTAGTACTCCATTGTGTAAGTGCACCACCTTTTCTCTATCCACTCTTCAGTTGAGGGACATCTAGATTGTTTCCAGGTTCTGGCTATTATGAACAATGCTGCTATGGACATAGTTGAGCAAATGCCCTTGTGGTATATGCTCAAGAGTGGTGGGTATTGCTGGGTTTTGAGGCAGATTGATGGTCAATTTTCTGAGACACCGCCACACTGATTTCCAAAGTGGCTGTACAAATTGGCACTCCCACCAGCAGTGGAGGAGTGTGCCCCTTTCTCCACATCTTCTCCAGCATAAGTTACCAGCAGTGTATTTTATCTTAGCCATTCTGACTGGTGTAAGATGGTATCTCGAAGTCATTTTGATTTGCATTTTTCTGATGGCTAAGGATGTTGAACATTTCCTTAAGTGTCTTTCGGCCATTTGAGATTCTTCTGTTGAGAATTCTGTTTAGATTTGTACCCCATTTTTGTTTGTTTGTTTGTTTTTGGAGACAGGGTTTCTCTGTGTAGCTCTGGAGCCTGTCCTGGCACTCGCTCTGTAGGCCAGGCTGGCCTTGAACTCAAGGAGCTTGGCCTGCCTCTGCCTCCCAAGTATTGGGAATAAAGGCATGCACCACAACTTCTCGGCTTTATATCCAACTTTTTAATTGGATTATTTGGTATTTTGATGTCTAGTTTCTTTTTATACTTTGGAGATCAGTCCTCTGTCTGATGTGAGGTTGGTGAATATATTTCCCATTCTGTGGGCTGCCTTTTTGTCTTGTTGACTCTGTTCTTTGCCTTATAGAACCTTCTCAGTTTCAGGAGGTCCCATTTATTAATTTTGGATCTCAGTGTTTATGCTACTGGTGTTGTGTTTAGGAAGAAGTCTCCTGTATCTATTTGGTCAAGGGTGCCTCCCTCTTTCTCTTCTATCAGGTTCAGTGTTAACTAGATTTATGTCGAGGTCTTTGGTTCATCTGACCTCAAGTTTTGTGCACGGCGATAGACATGGATCTATCTGCAGTCTTCTACATGCCAGCCCCCAGTTATGCCAGCACCATTTGTTGAAAATGCTTTTTTTCCATTGTATAATTTAGGTTCTTTGTCAAAAAAAGATACAGAATGCTTCAAAATTTTCATGTCATCCTTGCACAGGGCCCCTGTTAATCTTCTCTGTATTGGTCCAATTTTAGTATATATGCTGCTGAAGCACTGCAGAAGCAAAAGGAATTCTGGGGTTTGCAGTCCCATGGCCTTGCCTAAATGAGATTGGCCCATCAGAGAGTTCACTTCTGGTGGGCTAACATCCGTATCTTCAATTTCCACCCAGTACTCCTCGGACATGGCCGCCAGCAGGCTGGCAATGGGGAGGATAATGGGGTGGGCAGAGTTGGGTAGTGGGGTTGGACTTGGGACCTGTCCAGTGGGTGGCAGTGGTGACAACATTGCTTCTTAGCCCCAACCAGAGCAGAACTTTAAGATGGCTTCTTAACCGTTCATTCTTGAGTACCCACATGAAGATCCCACATAGCTCACCACACCACCAATGATCCCTTTCTAATGGAATAACTTGAGATTCATTTTCCTATTGCCTTAATGTGAACATTGTGACAAAGATAGCTTATAGAAGACCGAGTTTATTTGGGCTTACAGTTCCAGAGGGATGACATTCCACCGTTAGGGTTTTGAAGCATGGCAGCAGACAGGCGTGTTGGCTTGAGAAAGAAGCTGAGAACTGACATGCGTAATCACAAGCAGGAAGGGGAGCTTGAGGGGGAATAAGCTGAGAGCTCACATGTCTACTCACAAGGGGAACTTGAGGGGGCTTACTGCAGTACGAAGTCAGGGTCTTTACACTCTCAAAGGCTGCTTCCATCAAGGCCACACCCCACAAACCTACACAAATTGCTCCATCAGTAGTGGTTCAGTGTTCAGATACCTGACTGTGGCAACATTCTCATTCATACCAACAGAATGTTTAGCTACCTAGCTAGACCTTGTGGCTCAAGCCTTTGGTCCCAGGACTTGGCAGGCAGAGGCAGGCAGATTTCATTGTCTTTGAGGCTAGTCTGGTTTATGTAGTGAGTTCCAGGACAGCCAGGGCTACATAGAAAGACTCTGTATCAAAAAACCAGGGTGGGAGAGGTATAATTTTTGCTTCCCTCAAGAGAATATAGATTCTATGACAGGTTATTCACTGTATTCTCATCTCTTAGAATAATATGAGTAATAGTTTCCCTGTCTATTGATCAACGTTGTGCTCTGTGTCGTTAAACAAGCACTAAAAACTTTATAATTGACTTTAATCTTCGGGGACTCGCTAAACCAATGTCTGCCAGCAGCTAGAAGCCAAGAAGGTAGACAGGGAGGGAATGGGAAATGAACAGAAAGGGTTGGAAACATTGGTGAGTTTTCTGTTTCCTGTTATAGAGAACCAGATACTTCTATAGGGCAAATCACATCATAGGGCACATGTCTAGCAGATTTTCATAAAAGATTGGATTTTTTGTGAAGACTTCATGTATGGGCACATACTTTACTGTAGCAGACAAGTTGAGTGTTCCTTTAGGAGTCTTATATAAATAGACTCACATGCAAGTTTAATTAATGATGTCAACTTAGATGGGAATGCATAGGCGCCCTCTGGTGGGGTGGATATACAGTATGAACACTCCAGCATCTGTGGAGGCAGAAGGTCTTCCTTGAGTGACATCAGTGTCGCTCTTCACGAACTGGCCACTTGTGGAAACGCAGAATTCTCTTATGGATGCAATATATTTAAGGACCATGTTTGATGGGTGATCAATAATCTTTAATTCCTACATCGATTTCTTTTTTGCACTGCTATAGTTCTCCCAATGTTTAAAAGTGTTTTGGTTTTAGTTTTTAAAACATTTCTGTACTGGGCTTCTGTATTAATTTGCACTTTGAACGTGTGGACAGTTTCCACATTACATGCGCAGCACTAATAACATAGTTCTAGGACAGGATTCTGCAATCGTGTACATTTTTTTATTCGTATTCACCTCTATTTAAAAATGCTTTTCATGCAATACATTTGATCATATTCTTTTCCCTCCTCCAGCTCCTCCCAGAACCCCCACTTCCCTACCCACTCATCTTCACGTTCGCTCCCCACCCCACTCTCTATAGAAAAGGGAAAAAGAGCAAAATTATGTTTTGAGAATTTCACACGAATACTCCGGTTGTCTTTCCCCTTCTTCCAATTCTTTCCATGTCCTTCTCACTTCTCAAGTTCATAGATTCTTTTTTTTAATTTATTCTTCTCTTGCATCATATCCCAAAATAGTTTCCCTTCTTTCTGCTCCTTCCAGCCCCCCCCAACACCCCCTCCCCCCAGGGTAACAAACAACTGAGCATATCAAGTTGCAATAAGACGAGACGTATTCCCTCGTATTAAGGCTGGATGAGGCAACCCAGTATGAGGAACAGGGTCCCCAAAACAGGCAGCAGAGTCAGAGACAGCTCCAGCTCCCACAGTTAGGGGTCCCCCTAGAGAACCAAGCCACACAACCATGACATGTATGCCTAGGTCAGACCCATGCAGCCTCCCTAGCATTTGGTTCAGTCTCAATGAACCTCTATAAGCCCTGCTTTGTTGATTCAGTCGGCTGTGTTCTCCTAGTTCCCTTAACCCCTGTGTCTCCTATGTAATCATGCAATTCTTGTTTTTTCCTGGTATCGATGAAAATGCCCCTCTTCCTCCCAGTCATATATGGGGGACATGAGGCATTGATTGTAGTTTTTACCTTTGTTCCTCTGATATATTTTCTTTCTGAACTTTATATTCTCTACATTTCATAATTTCATTTTACCTTTGGCTCTAGATAGGTGGGTCTGCTCATTTTCCTTCGAGAAATCAAAATGAAACAAAAGTTATCCTCTAACTCTTCCTTTAAAGCTTCCTTTTAGAAGTTCCCTTAAAAGTAAACATTTAGAAGAGAATCATTAACCAGTCTCTCCATGAGGTACTTACACAAAACTAAACTTGCATTGTCTTCCTTTACACCTGGCTGTTTGCTGTCTCTCCTGGTTATCACGATGAAGTTGCCCATGGTCTTAGTGTCTCCTTTCTTAGCTGGTGTGGAACACCCCAGCTATAGCCAAATCCTACTTATTGTTACCGTACAGGGACCCTCCCTCCCCTTTCTGGCTATCTTCATGGGCCCCGGCTGAGCCCATTCTGCTATGCTTCCAGTCATGGTGGTCTCCTTATATGTCACAAACCTGACAAATATTTCTATGAAGAGACTGTGAGATTTTCATTTGTTTATTCACTAACTATTAGCACATATTACTGTAGTCTGAACAAAGAAACTTAAGCATAATGAAATTGACATTTAGCCTTCTTCCCAAGACCTGGTCCAACCGATTTTTGTTTTAAGAAAGAAGATAAGATCATAGATTTTTTAAAAATCTCTGTTGGCATGAGAAAAATATACTGAGTTTTTGTTAACGCTGGAAAATCACCTATCAGTCTCCTTCCAGAAGTCTAAAACTAGCTTTGCATACAATGGAACTCAGTATATGATAAGAGCACTATACTGTTTCATATTATTATTCCCATGAATATTATAGTCATTTCTTATATAATATCTTACAATTGAAAGTAATACCACTCAACATACATGGTGATGCAAATTGCGTGCCTCTGTCTTATCTCCTAGGGTAAGTTACTTGTCATACATACATAGTACATACAATTTTTTAATTTCAAATTTATAATCCTAAAAAGTTGCTGTTCAAGTTGTGCTATTTTCCCCCATGCATTGTAACATGATAAATAAAAACACAAAGACAGATACTGGAGTTCCAGCTTCAAGCTGAAGGTCAGAAAAGCAAGGCAGCTGGTCTCTGGCTCTTCCCTCTACCTCAGGCTGAAAGGACTGTTGTGGTGTCCTCAGTGTGGCTGGAGAACAAATCTCTGAGACTGAATACTGAATGCCCTGCTCCTATCTTATTTACCTCTCTAGATCTGGGATTAAAGATGTAGGATCCCAAGTCCTGAGATCTCCTTTGTGTAAGCTATTTCTCTTTAAGACTGATTCTAATGTAACCCTGGGCGGCCTTGAACTCATAGATCCATCTGCCTTTGTCTCCTGAGTCCTGGGATTAAAGGTGTGTGCTACCTTCTATAACTAACTAGTGTGGCTGCTGGAATTAAAGGTGTGCATTACCACTGCCTGGCTCCATGGCTGCGGCTAGCTTTGCATTTTGATCTCCAGTGGCTTTATTAAATCATAAAAATACATCACCATAATGCAGACATTATCATTGCTACATATGCATGTTTGTGGGTGTGGATGCTCATGTGTGCTTGTATGTGTACATGCGGAGGCCTGCTGTTGGTGCTGGGAGTGTCCCTAACAACTTCCATCTTATTTATTAAATCTGGGACTCTCATTGGGGGCCCACAGCTTGCCTGGCTCCTCTGCTTAGCAGCCTTGCTCTGGCTATTCATCGTCTCCCCTGCTCTGGAATTACAGGTCAGCCCCGCCAGCCGATGTTTGTGTGGGTTCTAGGGATCAAGATTCTGGTCCCAAAGCCACCAGCCAGTCTTCCAAGTCCTCCGTTTGTACTGTTAATAAAATCCCTAAGCCTTCCGTTGCTGGAGAAGCCAGGACCCTGCTAATAGGCATGAAATGAAAACAAAGATGTGCCTCGCAAACATCTTAAGATCATCAGTAGAAATCCTTTGATGGCCTGAAGACTTGGAAAAGGGTGAGCGGACAGACCGATGTAGATGGCAGCTGATGATTTTATGCCTTGTGTGTGGCTGCACGAGTATGCGGGGACTTGGGAAAGTTAGCTAAGTTCCAAGGAGTTGTTGGAACACACACTTGACTGGAGTGGGAGAAGTGATATGACTTAGGAGGGAGTGAGAGTCATTTCATGGTGAGAGGGAGCTTGGAAATCAGCGGGAAGCCAGCCGCGGAACTTAAAGCAGGAGTTGACAAGCGGTACAGAAGGAAACAATTTTTTTTCCGAGTCACTTCAGACTGATTACATGGGGAGAATAGTAGGGACCAGGGAGGAAGGAAAGGAGGAAATTGCAGTACTAAGTCAAAGATGAAAAATTGCCAACAGAAGTGTGAGCCGTTTTTCAATAGGAAGAAGGTATAAGTATTGGAATGCACCACCCCAATTGGCTCGCCTCAGGGGAGCGAAGGTGGCAGCCTAATGTCCTGCCAGCAGGGCAGATAAAATGTGAAGCAGAGCTCCCTGACTCAAAGTCAAACACAGGATCTTTGAAATTCATTTGCTGTCGCTGGAATCTTCTGCGTCTACTTGTGTCTTTGGATGCGATTTAAGTTATTCTCCAAGTTTTGGGCTAATGCACTTTCTTTTGTAGCTGCAACTAATGTAAGCCTAATGAATATAAAAAAATCGTGGAAGGCCGATATTTTTAACTCCTCATATTCCTACCTAGAAACCAGTTCAGTAGAAGATATGGCTTTGGCTCTAACACGGTAGGGGGAATAAGGTACTATTTTTTCCACTCTTAGATGTTCAAAGTCATTTGTCCCCTTGAAATTTAGGGAAGAGAAAACTGAGACCCCCTAAAAAGCTTTCATGTTTCAGTTTGCCTTAAGCCCCTGTGGTCAGCCACAATGGATCATGATTATTTTGATACTATCCCATACTACTCCAGACATGTCATCTACCACCATCAACCTACATCATCTCCCCTTAGTTCTTGTTGACAATGAAAATTTCCCGTTTTAATTTAGCACCTGGGTAATATATTTACACTGCACTGTCACTATTCTTTAGCTTCAGGGATTAAAATCCCTTTTGAACTCTTTAATACCTTGATCTTACTTTTCATTTAAAATAGCCCTCTCTTAATTCATTGATTTTACTTCTATCTGAAATCTATAAACACAGCCATTATTTAAATTCAGAATTAAAATTCATTTCCTTGAATACTAGTGGCCCTTAACTATATATCTTCATGAAGTAGACATTTTCTCTCTGGTTAAACTTACATAATGCTGTCCTGCGCATTTGTAAGATTCCGACTATTCCAATCATCTAATAAACACACATTCTTAGCTTTAATCTTCCCCAAGATCTGTCTCCAGGGTACCCTTCCAATATAATTTCTTTTTGCTGTTCCCTACCTCAGCACTTTCTTTCTAGGAAAAACAAAATTGCAGCAATATTCGATGTCAGAGCCGTGTTGCTGGTGGGTCTTGTCACATCAGGTCCCACCTCCCCATTCCCCCAAAAAGCACACAGTGAGTGCCTTATATTAATTATTATTTGTTTGCCAATGGCTATGGCTTCTTATTGGCTAGCTCTGTCTTAATTATTAACCCATTTCTATAACTCTATATATTTCCACATGGTCTTATCTTACCGGAGAACGCCTGGTGTGTCCTATCCTCCCGGCCCCTCCATGGTATCTCTCCCACAGCACCTCTCTGCCTACCTTTCTTGGAATTCTCCTTGTCTCCTAGTCCCACCTATCTTCCTACATCTGTTGGCCAATCCATGCTTTATTCATCAACCAATAAGAGAAACAAATATACAGAAGGACATCCCCTATCAGAGCCATGCTTTCTTAAGCCTTCCTCTGGTAGCATTTGCATTTCTCATTCTTTGTTCTGAGAATGATGATCAAACAGGTCTCTAATGGTGTTTATTTCTGCTACTGTGATCTTCCCGTTCCGGTGTCTACTCCCGACTCTGAGTCCTAATGGTTCTCCACAGGCCTGCTCTCCCTTCTTTCCACATCCTGACCATTATCCTCCTTGTAAGGATGTGAAAATGTTAATTTCCTGCTTGGCAACTTTTACCTTGATGTCCCAAGCCATATGACATTTCTACCCCAAGAAATGCATTTTCTTACAGCATGCACTCCTGTACAAGATGTGCGTGGCAAGTTGTTGCAGCTTCTTGTTAATCTAGACTTTCTGAAATATTTGTGTTTGCCTTTCCCATCTTTCAAACCTCCAGTTCATCCTTTGACTTACTATTCAGATATAACTTCCTGAAGTGTTTCCTCAAGTACCCCCAGACACTAGTTAACTGCCCATTTTCTCTGTACCTACACCAGTGCTGCTGGCTTTAATGCTATCCTGCAGTTGCTTCTGTCATGGAAACCTGCAATGGCTGCTTGACACCTGTGAACTTAATTCAACCATGTATGAATATGTATCCCCAGCACTTGACACAATGCCATTTAATAAGTGCTTATTTACAAGTTGGCCGCACAGAAACACATCTCAACATATCCCTACCCAACAGATGCCCCAGGTCTCACACCTGACAATTTAGTACTCTTTAGAGGTGATCTCATGTTTCTTACTTTGCATCTTTCTCCAATCCCAGAGGATCCCAAAACATATGCAGAGACATCATTTGTTACTCTACCTGCCTTTCCTTTCCCCCCCTTTTTAAAATGCAATTTGCCTTGGCATGATTTCAGATCATATTCTGTTCTGACTTATAAGCTCTGTTAGGGAAAAAGTCATTCATCTTTTATCTCCTAACATCTAGCACAGGAACTCCACAGACGTTACAATAAAATAAATACTGATAGGAGGAAATATATGCAGAATTACTTTATACACACACACACACACACACACACACACACACACACACACACACACATCCCAATATGGAAAAATCAAAGAAACTGAGAGTTTGAGATCTTTGGAATAATCTAGTGTCTTCATCTGATGCAGTAGAGGCCCTGTGTTGTTTTTGAGGTCTCAGAGCTTGGAAGGAAAATTAGACAAGTAGAGCTTGATTGTGGCACAGTGCACTTGGGTTTGTTTCAGACATGGTACATACTGTTCAACTTCACTTTACTAGTTTTGTTGATACATTAGATGCTGAGTCTGTTTTCCAGTGATAATTATAGAAACCAAGTTATCATTGCTAGAAGACTAGCAGAAAAGGCACCTGCCCCAAGATGGTTTCTCTGTGTAGCCCTGACTGTCCTAGAACTAACTCTGTAGACCAGGCTGGCCTTGAACTCAGAGATCTGCTTGCTTATGCTTCCCAAGTCTTGGGATTACAGGTGCGCACCATCACTGCCTGGCTATAATCATCGTTTTTTTTTCAGTTTTGAAGATTATAACATCCTAGAAATTACATCAGTGTAAGGAAGATAGGGAGGATTTACAAAACGAGACTGTATGTCATACAATATCATATGTACTCTTTTTCAACAAGACTTGGTAGTACAGGTCTACCATCTTAGTTACTTGAGAGGTTGAAGCAGGAGGATAGCAAGCTCAAGTGTAGCCTGGATAACTTGAGACCTTGCCTCAAAATAAGAAGTAAAGTAAGGCTGGGAACACAGCTCATAATAAAGAGTTTGCCTAGCATGTATGAGGCCCTAGCTTCCATCCATGAATTGCAAAGAAACCACAAAAACAGACTTGTTGTCCTTTCTCAGAAGACCTAAGGAAGATGCTGCAATGATGTTTGCCTTTATCCTTAGTACTCATTAAAATTGATTGCATGTCAGCAAAAATTATATCATATTGCACAAATGTATAGCATAATGGGTATCTATCTATTTTGAGTAAGCAGTCAGAAAACTCAGTTCTTCTTGATTATTGTATACTTTTCCCACGTGAATTCCAGCCTGTATCAATGTGCATGGAACTGGTTTATCATTATTGCCACTGTATTCGGGTACATTGATTCCCATTGTTAATCACCCACAAGCATTATATGGGTCTTAGAGTTAAAGGTACCAGGGTGAGCATGACATTGTTTCATGGCCTGTGGAATACTAGAGTCTCAGAAGTGCTGAGATGGTTTTGTAACTGCTCTCTGGTGTTTTCTGTTTGAAAGGTGAATAAGATTTGTGGCCACCCAGTGAGAACAGCCACACAGAGCCCCCGTTGTACTTTTGATCCAAGTAAGGAGAAGCTTGGGATGAAGATCTATTCCAGGACCGGTGAAGAGACACTCGCCAACAGAAGAAAGTAAGCCATTTGTTTCACAACCAGAAAAAGAAAGCAAGTCACATACTCTACAGGAGAATAGAATGTGTTCATTACATAGATAGACCCAGGGGTAGTGTGGAAGAAAACATCCAAATGCTATTTCACTTTATCTAAAGTGTAGTGGGCTAATGTACCGGAGAGAGAGAGAGTGCAGGGCTGAACACTCGCTGCAATTGCAGAGGACCCGGGTTTGATCCCCGGCACCCACAGGCTGATTACGACTATCTGCAGCGACAATGTCAGGGCCTCTGAAACTCCTACTGGCCTCTGTGGGTACCTGTACACCCATGGCACATACACAGACAGACAAACCCACACATGTATACATACATAAAAACATAAAAACTTAAAGTTCCATGGCTTGACATATTCCATGACTTTGGAAGATAGATCCACCTTGTGAGAACAATCAATTTTGTGACTGTTATTCTTTAATACATTAGAGCAGTTGTTATATCCTAATGTTGTAATCTGATAATAACTAGAATTATTCTTTAATATATTAGGATAGTTCCAGGAATGTATGACCATAATGTATTTAAACTAAGGACCACTTACCTGTAATGTACAGTATAAGACAGCACTGTCACTCCATGTGATTTATATTTCTGGGTATTTAGAATTCTTGAAATAGAGTTGCAAAAAAAAATACAAATTTCCCTACATTTTACCTGCAATGGTAAAAATGGCCACTTGTTTATATCAAGTAGTAAGCATTTAGCAACTTGTAATTCACTGTGCCTGTCACTATCTTACTAGGTAAGGTAAAACCCTCCCTATTGTCCCTTTGCTTGATAGTAGGTGTTTAACATGAAAAACTATTCAAAACTAGAGGAAAACATTTCAGTATTTATTTGACTGTGTACCTTTTAGAAATAGTGGCTCTCTGTCGTTGCCTTCTAAATTGAACCTACATTCAGAGGGTTATGTATGTGTTAGTTCAAATAGTTACTTCTAATATCTCTTAGACAATCTATATTAAGGCACTTCATGCAGTGTTCACAATATAACATCATCTTCCCTCCAATTTATTTATTATTTGTTTATTCTCTCATAAATTACATTCCGACCAGACCCTCCTCCCCCACTTCCTTTCTATCTCAGATCCACGTCTCCATTTCCTTCCTAAACAAAAGAGCCGTCCTCCCATGGGCATCAACCTAACATGGCATGGCAAGCCACAATACGACTAGGCACAAACCCTAACATCAAGGCTGGGCAAGGCAGCTCTGCTGGATGAAAAGGATCTCAAGAGCAGACAAGAGAGTCAGAGAACCCTACCCCACTCCAACCTCTCCCATTGTTGGGAATCCCACAAGAACACCAAGCTGCACAACCACATTATACATGCAGAGGACCTAGTGCTGACCCTTGCAGGCTCCCTGATTGTCGGTTCAGTCCAGTGAGCCTCTATGAACCCTCGTGATTCAGTGGGTTGTGTTCTCCTTGACCCTCTGGCTCCTACAATGACACCAACTCCTCTCCTGTGGGGGTCCCCCTGGCTCCACCTAGTGATTAGCTGTGGAACTCTGCATCTGCACTTGTCTGGCGACAATGGGGTTAGGCATCAGTCTAAGAGTATAGCAGACTATCAGTAAGAATCATTTCAGTGGCTTCTTTTTTTGAGTTATATTTGGTTCTATCCTAGGTTTCTGGGCTGCCCTTCCTCTGGTTTCTAGCCACCCATGTGTCCTCTGATTCCTGGCCATCCATGCTGTTCAGGATGCTAGTCATTGGTTGGCCACTCCCAAAATCGTGCAATCAGGACAGAGAGAAGAAGTCTTTGCTTATATCTGTACCACATTGTTTAATTGGGATTGGTTGGTGTGTTGAAATGTAGTTTAATCTTGAGTTCTTCATATATTTGGGATGTTAGCCCTCTGTTAGATATGGAGTTGGGAAACATTATTTTCCCATTCTGTAGTCTGCTGTTTGTCTTGTGGACAGTGGCCTTTGCTTTTAAAGAAGCATTTCAGTTTCATGAGGTCCCACTTGTTACGTGTAGACCTTAGTGTCTATGCTATCTGTATTCTCTTCAGGAAGCTGTCTCCTATGCCAGTCATTGTGTTCAAGGCTATTTCCCATTTTCTTTTCTATTAGGTTCAGTGTATCTAGTTTTTTATGTTTTTATTTAAATTAGAAACACCCATGCTTCAAATGTCAATCCCAGCTCCCCCACCTCCCTTGTCCATCCACTAGGCCCCCCTATCCCCCAGCCCAATCCCCACAACATTCCCCAGGGAAGGTGAGGCCCTCTTTGGGGGGATCTCCAGAGTCTGTCATTTCATCCAGGGCAGGACCTAGGCCAGCACAGTGTTGACCACCTTGCTCATCACTCCTCCATCTCTGTAACTGGGTTCCAGGGGGTCAGTTCAGTATTTAGCTGTGAGTATCTATCTCGGCTTCCATCAGTCACAGGATTAAGGTTCCAGGATGACACATAAGGTAGTCATCAACCTTATCATCAGGTAGGGGCTATTAATGTAGTCTCTCCACTATTACTTAGTTTTCCAGTTGGTGTTTTTCTTGTATATTTCTGGAAATCTCCCTAGTGTTGGCTCTCTCCTCAAAGCTATAATGACTCCAACTATTATGGTATATCTCATCCTAGTCTCCTCTATTCTTACCCCGACTCAACCTTCCTGCTCCTCCATGTCTTTTTCTACCCTCCTCTTATACCCCCCCCTCTTTTTCCTGGTCCCCTCTACCCTTCCCCCATGTTCCCAATCTGCTCAGGAGATCTTGTCCCTTTCCCCTTCTTTGGGGTATAATGCATATCTCTTGGGAACCTCCCAAGACTCACTGGCCCTGGGATTGTAGGTTGACACTTGCCTGAACCATGTCTAAAATCATATATGAGTGAGTACATGCCATGTTTCTCTTTTTGTGACTGGGTTACCTCACTCAGGATGGTTTCTTCTAGTGCCATCCATTTGCCTGCAAATTTCAAGATTCCGTTGTTTTTTTCCGCTGAGTAGTACTCCATTGTGTAAATGTACCACATTTTCTCAATCCACTCTTCAGTTGTGGGGCATCTAGGTTGCTTCCAGGATCTAGCTATTCCAAATAATGCTGCTATGAACATAGTGGAACAGACATCCTTGTTGTATGAATGGGCATCTTTTGGGTATATGCCTAAGAGTGGAGTTGCTGGGTATTGTGGTAGACTGATTCCCATTTTCCTGAGGAATCTCCATACTGATTTCCAAAGTGGCTGAAACAGTTGGCACTCCCACCAGCAATGGACAAGTGTTCCCCTTTCTCCACATCCTCTTTAGCATAAACTGTCATTGGTGTTTTTGATTTTCACCATTCTGACAGGAGTAAGATGATATCTCAGGGTTATTTTGATTTGCATTTCCCTAATGGCTAAGGATGTTGAACACTTTCTTAAGTGTGTCTCAGCCATTTTAGACTCCTCTATAGTGAATTCTCTATTTAGTTCAGTCTCCCACTTTTTAGATGGGTTCTTTGGTGTTTTGGAGAGTAGCTTCTTGAGTTCTTTGTACATTTTGGAGGTCAGCCCTCTGTCAGATGTGGGGCTAGTGAATATCTTTTCCCATTCTGTGGGCTGCCTTTTTGTCTTGCTCACTATGCCCTTTGCTTTACAGAAGCTACTCAGTTTCAGGAGGTCCCATTTATTGTTGATCTCAGTGTTTGTGCTACTGGTGTTATTTTCAGGAAGCAGTCTCCTGTGCCAATTCGTTCAAGGGTACCTGCCACTTTCTCTTCTAACAGGTTCAGTGTGACTGGATTTATGTTGAGGTCTTTGATCCATTTGGACTTAAGTTTTGTGCATGGCAATAGACATGGATCTATCTGCAGTCTTTTACATGTCAGCACCCAGTTATGCCAGTACCATTTGTTGAAGATGCTTTCTTTTTTTCCATTGTATAATTTTAGCTTCTTTGTCGAAAATCAGCTGTTCATAGGTTTTGTGGATTAATCTCAGAGTGTTCACAATTCGATTCCATTGTTCTACCTGTCTATTTTTGTGCCAATACCAAGCTGTTTTCAGGACTATAGTTCTATAATATAGTTTGAAGTCAGGGTTGGTGATGCCTTCAGATGTTGGTTTGTTGAGTAGGGTTGTCTTGGCTATTCTGTTTTTTTTTTTTTCCATATAAAGTTGAGACTTGTTCTTTCAAGGTCTGTGAAGAATTGTGCTGGAATTTTGATGGGGATTGTATTGAGTCTGTAGATTGCTTTTGGCAGGATTGCCATTTTAAACACATTGATCCTACATATCCAAGAGCATGGGAGATCTTTCCATTTTCTGGTATCTTCTTTAAAGAGTCAAAGTGCTTGCGATACAGGTCTTTCACTTGTTTGATTAGCATTACCCCAAGGTATTTTATATTGTGTGTGGCAATTGTAAAGGGTGATGCTTCTCTGATTTCTTTCTCAGCCATCTTATTGTCTGTATATAATAGGGCTACTGATTTTCTTGAGTTGATCTTGTATCCTGCCACTCTGCTGAAGGTGTTAATCACCTGTAAGAGTTCTCTGGTAGAGTTCTTTGGGTCTCTTATGTAAACTATCATCTCGTCTACAAATAGTGAGAGTTTTATGTAGGAGTGAATCCCACAAAGCTATCCGCACATGAGGGCGGGGACAAGTAAATTAGCACAGGTAGAGATAAAAGGAAGCTAAAGGAAAAAGGACCTCTTCTCTTTTGGAAGCTGGCAGGCTTCTGACTCCCAGCTATGTGATTCTCTCTGGTAAATAAATATATTGTATTCCCTATAGCATTGGCTATCATCTTTAGTTTTACCTCTTCCTTTCCAATTTGTATCCTCTTGAACTCCTTTTGTTGTCTTATTGCTCTAGCTAGAACTTTGAGTACAATATTGAAGATGTATGGGGAAAGGGGACAGCCTTGTCTTGTTCCTGATTTTAGAGGAATTGCCTTGAGTTTCTCTCCATTAAATTTGATGTTGGCTGTTGGTTTGCTGTATATAGCTTTTATTATGTTTAGG